AATTGTAGATTCTTGCTTTACCAATTCAACCACAGACAAAACTGCAATGCAAATGATTAATTGTGTTTCGAGTTAGATACATTCACGTTAATTTCACGTTATTTCAGGTATATTATTTTAAAATTTTGAAGCTGATTCCCATTAGGGCTGCGGTTTTGCCAATGGCACTGACAGGAACAATGACCCACTTTTTTGATCACCAAAACCTAGAAACCTAGAACACCAAATTGACAACGACCTTCATAATACCACACACATCCCAGTACCGCCACCACTCTCAAGTCAAAATCAAGAACCCAACTTCTTCTGGTTGGACACAACCAAAAAATCATCAGCATAACGTTTCATGACATGCTCCCTTTCACCGCCCACAAAAAACACAAGCTTCAGAACGAAAAACATACCAAAAGCCATCTTGCGAACTCGTACAGACACAAGAAGGACTACCTGTACTACAAATATACTAAACCATCTGTTGTCCCATGATTGACACCTGGGCAGGTACTTTCAAAACATTGCCAAGTGCTCGTAGCGGCTTAAGTGCAGTGTAAGTCCGCTAAGTGCTCGTAACTTCAAATAATGGTACCTTCAAAACGTTTTGCGGTACGTTACGAGCACGTAACTTTGCACCAATTCAAAGGTCGCATAAGTGGAGTGACAATCAACTTTTGATCAAGTGAAGCGATTGGTAATCATTTAGTTTCTAGTATCTAGTCTCTAATAGTGTCTGGACTAGTGTATCATACTAGTGTCTAGACTTTAGTATCATTTTAAGGTAAATCCTCTAATTTTGATTCAGAAAAATATCCTTATTCGATATTAAGAAAATTTTATTAGTCATGCATCAAATAAATTTTTTCTTAGTATATGCTGTCTCTTATACACATCTTTACACAATTCCTCATTTTCCTATTAAACTTACCTGGTCAAAAATATGGTATCCTCTATTTATGCAACAAATAGTATAACATATAAACGGAACGAATATAATTGGGGAGATAATTTATATATTGTGCGTCAGTCGGTAACTCTCATCCCGAATTAATTTCGAGTGACGTCGCGCCATCAGAATATCCTCATACCGTCCCCTTGACGAGGGTGATCCCAGTGGGCATTACAAAGAGTTGGTCAGAAATGAGATTAGAACATCAGAGTGAAATGTTGCAAATGTTCAATTACACATTTTATCTTTAATATTTTTTTGGCAATCTACAGCGAAGTGTGAAAGCTGCAGTTAGAGCTCATTTTAGCTGTACAAAAAAGTTTTCGTTATCCCCTGATTGAGTTTTTGCAGTCACTGCGTTATCCACTGCATGACTGCACCAAATCATTGTTCCATGGTTAGTGGAAACTCAGAATGTCGAAAACAAAATATAACGAAAAAAAAATTCATCCACGAACAGATGCGCCTTAAGTTNATAAGGAATTTTTTTGGAGAAGCCATGTGATAGCCTTGCAACAAGCTTTGAAATGAGCCTAAACTTGTTTATGAAATGTTTCATGGTAAGAAGTTATAAATAAAAACGTTAGAAATCGTCCTGAGTAGCCCGGTTGATGGTAGAGGTAAAACCTTTGCTTTGAATTCCAAATTTGCTTTTCAGCTCAGCTTAAATGAAAGGTGGTTGTCTCTTCTATTTTTCTTGGTGCACAAAACAAATGGTGTGTATTGGGGCAACCTTAGGGTTTTATGATAAGTTTATGACTTCTCAGTCCATGGTCAAGCTGATGCTGCGCCTTTGTTGTCCTCTGTCTCCGAGTTGTCACTAGGCAGGTCACCCCGCCCTCAGATGTAATGTTGGATGTGCTTTTCTATTCGCCCTCTTTTGGGCGAGCTGATGCTAGATGCTGCTGCTTGTCACTTACTGAGGGTAGTTTCCCATAACTGGACAATCCGGGATCTTCTTAAGAAACTTATCCAGTAGTCTCTTGAAAGTTGCAAGAGTAAACTCCCATAGTCAGCACCTTTGGTAAGGCATTGAACAGCCTTAGTGCTACCATGGACAGTGATCCCTCACAATGAGTCTGTACTCTGTAGTCCCTCCTCTACAACCTTCTTACTCCAGCTTTCTATTTAACCTTTGCAATGTTTTTATTAATAAATAATCAAGTAGCAATCAAAACAAGAAAAAACATAGTATGTATTGAGAATAATTCAAGAAAAAGAGACCAGTGCAAACCAAGGTATGGGGTTGCACTAAACCTTGAATGACTTGTATATCAGTTTACTAGCTTTATCCTAGTCAGAAAGACTGAAGATAATCAAACCGAATGAACCTAAGGAGTCCACTTCTTCCTTTACCATTACAAGAATACATGGTTAGGTCTGTGAGTCATTTTTATGCAGTGAACTAACAATTACCACTCTGAGTTATACTCCCACATTAACTGATGACTTGCATTTGCGCTTCAGGAAAGGGGGTTTGCAAGGACCCCTAGTAGGTATGACCTACTTCCTTGCAGAGCAACTAAAAGAAAGCTTTCCATATCCAATAAAACTCACCATCATAGCCTGGCATTGATGAGAATCCTCTACCAACAAGCCAGTAGGGAAGTGCAAATCAATCTAAATCATTGGTTGGACCTACGGTTTTCCCTAAATTTACTAGTCACTATAATTGTTGCTACCGTATATAGATTTATTAATAAAATTCAGTTCTATTCTCAAGTGGAACTGTTGTAATTTTTCACCCATTTAGATCAAAGATTTCCAATCACACATTAAAAACTTTTATGAATCATTCTAATTATCTGCAACTTTCTTAAAGATAAGTCTTTCATCCTTTACATAGGGAAATGGAATCTCATTTGATCACATATGCTGTGCTTCCAAATTTCTAGGTGTGCCATACAGAATAATATCTTACTTTACACAAGAAATGCAGAATCTATATTATGAATAAAGTGTCTCCAAAATTGAATATTTTCATTATGACCCACCCAAGTGACTTTCACATCCTATAGAGAGAAAAACGTTTTTATGACAACGTAAGTCATAATGTACCACATAAAGTGTTAAAAATAACTCCAACAAATGGTCTATTTAATTAATATCAAGTTTTTTCATGCGCACACTTTTTGTGCCTGAATATCTTTATATTAATTCCCATTGAATGTCTGGGCCAGGCAACATTGGTTTAAGCTGATACACACTCCGGATCAAACTCCAACATGGTCTGAATCAAGCTCCTCCATAGTACAGGTCAAGCACCTACACAGTTAAGCTGCTGTGTATGTGGGGTTAATCTGCTGTGTACGCCAGGTTAAGCTGCTATGTAAGCCGGGTTAAGCTGCTACTTACATCGGGAAAAGCTACTACATAAGAAAGATTTGAACAGTCAAATACCATCAAGAAATAAACACCTGTTTTAGCAGCAGTTATACGCGGTCATCCAGACAGCAACAAATATATTGGTTGTGCTTGCAGCAGGAAGACCACTGCTCGGCTACAAGGGATGGACAAAACCTTGTTCCTGACCATCTGTTGGTTGAAATTGATTGTGCTACCCAGCTTAAGGGATAGAATAACAGCCGCCATAAAAATAGGGTATATTTTGTTCAAACTGTAAGATAATGAAATTAAGGAATCAGTCCTGCAGCAGTGAAATTAAGAAACACGTTTCTGCATGATTCCATTGCATTCATCAGCAGGTTTACTCCGAGAATGTTTCTGTGCATTTCTTGGAGAATGCTTCAAGAAAATATTTTGTTGGGGATTAACTTTATTGGCACACAAATTCAAACAGGAACGGTTTTGGTGTTTACTTTTGGACAAAGGTTTGGATCTAATATGCTTTTTCATTGAATCATTTGTGGTACAGGATTGTTTACAGTCTGGGAACCTGTAGGATGTTTCTATTGAATGCAAAGCATTATTGTGATGCTGTAGACCGCTCCCTGAACTAGAGGAGTCTTCACAGCAGGGATGGGGTCCTGAAACAGGATGTTCCAGATCAATGTTCTGCTGTAGACCACTCCCTGAACTAGAGGAGTCTTCAGAGCAGGGGTGGGGTCCTGAAGCAGAATGTTCTGAATCAATGTGCTGCTGTAGTTCACTTGCACCTGCAGACACCAACCCACGCTGGGGACATCCAATCCTGATGTGTTGCTGGGAGCTGGACGCCTCAGAGACGAGAGCGTCGCCATCAGCGTCTCCTGATGCCGGTGCTGACCCACCTTCACCAAACTAATGATGAAAATACAAAGTAAAACTATCTCCCATATTGATAACAGCTACAGTAAACTGTTGAATTTCAAGATTGATCCTCAATAAAATGTGTTAGAACTTGCAATAGAAATTAAAACCTGTTAAAAAAATTTCCAAAATTTGTGAACTTTTGCAGGGATTACTCAGTGGTAATAATTGGACTAAGCAAATAAATGAGTTACAATTACCTGGTCTCAACTTAGGCTGTAGATTCACGCTTTACTACTTCAAACACAGATAAAACTGCAATGCAAATAATTAATCGTGTTTCGAGTTAGATACATTAATTTCACAGTATTTCAGGCATATTAATTTTAAATTTGGAAACTGATTTCTACTAGGGCAACAGTTTTGCCAATGGCACTGACAGCAACGCTGCCCCACTTGTTTTGATCACCAAAACCTTGAAACTTAGAATACCAAATTGACAACCACCCTCATAATACCACACACATCCCTGTACTGCTACCACTTTCAAGGTAATATCAAGTACCCAACTTTTCTGGTCGAACACAACCTAAAAACCCTTGGCATAACGTTTCATGCCATGCACCTTTTTACTGCCCACAAAAAACTCCCATAGCAAGAACCTCAGAACGCGATAACATACCAAAAGACCTCTTAGGAACTTGTATGGACATGACTAAGACTACCTCTTTTACAAACCTACTAAACCATCTGTTGTCCCATGATTGACGCCTGTTCAATATGGACCCCTATCACTTCTTCCACAAAATCGACACCTCCAAATGGTTCAAAATGTCACCTTGCATGCAATAACTGGTTGCCACAACAAAACAGCATACAAAATATTCACTATGAATATCAAATCCTTGATCCATGCTTAGGAGAAATCAAATGTATGACCATCTATTTCTAAAACTCAAAAATCATTAGATTTCACAAGTTGGATTGACATGTACAGGGAAAATGGCACGTGTACCTAGTATCTCTACCAGCATTTATTTTATACAATACTACAGGGTCATCAATATTTAGCGTTACATTTTTTCACAATCAATTGTTGATAATTATCCTTGCTATTTGTCATTTGTTTACACCTTCTCATTAATCTTTATCATTATTTATCATTTATCATCTTTATGGTGTCAAAAAACACTCTGCCTACACAAATACATTTTCAAACATTCACAATTGTGTTTCATTTCATAGTTCTAACCACTCAAAGTTGTAACGCTAAATATTGATGACCCTGTATTTCATACAATACTGTACTGTATATTTTATTTTATACAATACTATCAACAATAAAAAAACAATGGTGGTGAAAAAAGACTTGGGAGTACCACTAAAAAATTTATTGTTCAATGTAAATGTGAAAAATCTTAAATTACCTATGCATACCTGATTTGGAAACAGAACAGGAATGTTCAGTGAAGAGTTTGGGTAGGCATCATGCACCTCAACTTGAGCTTCCATCTTGCACGGCACACAAGAGGAGAGTGCAGGTGCAGGGCTGAGATGTGCAGTGGAATAAGCCTGGGGGGGATGTGGAGGACAATTCTGAGGTGGCTAGCAGTGATGTGTGCATTTTATGAGGAAAAATTTTAGTATTTGACTCTTGTAACTTTCTGGGAAAAGTGGAGATGTGGCTGGCAATGATGTGTGCATTATACAAAAAAGATACGTATAGTATGTGACTCTTGTGACTTTCTGAGAGAAATGGAGGACAATGTTGATGTGGCTGGCAGTTATGTGTGAAAAAATCTGTGCATTTCATGAGGAAGGAAAAAATATAGGACTTTTATATAATTCATCGCAAGTTCCTAATTTCTCAACAGTACATCACAATTACTGGTTTTAACACATTGACTACGAAGTGGTACATATGCATACCACGAAATGTATTTCTCCAGGACGTAGTGGTACATAATTCAGGTTGCCTTAAATCGGCCAAATCCGAGAACAAAAAATGCCAAAAAAGGCCGATAACTCGATATATACTAATTTATTTGTAGGTTCTGCTATTAAAATTCCACTTATTTTCTTTTTTGCAGTATTTAAATTTTAATTAAGAAGTACCCCTATCATAAATTTTAGCTGGCCAACGCAATTGAGAAAAACTAAATCACGGAATTTGTCCAGAAAAAATGACCGTCTGGCAACCCTGTTTAAAAACAGTACAAAAAATGAAATAATAGTACAAGATGAAGCAATTGTAGTCAACGTGTTAAGTGACGTCTCATATCAGTGCTTCACAATGCAAAAATTCCACTGAGCAGTTTTCAACTTAAAATGGATATATATAGATAAGAGGCCATTTCAGAGGCAAATGCACATATTTAATAAGTATTTTCTATCAAATTGGCATTAATATAAGTTGCAGACTTTTTTTTATTTGTATTGTACTGACGTTGCATTTATTGATAAGCAATGGAGGAGAATAAGAACAAGATAATTTGGACAGTTTAGCATGGTTCCTGCCAATAGCAGTCATTGCCTTTCCTTTTAATTTGACAACAGACAACTAATGAGAAAAAGTTTAAGTGTTTGGGTTCAGAATAACAAACCTAATTCAAGTAATAAATCAAATTTTCATAATTTTCAACCAATTATTGAACAAAGATGAGTGTGAATCATGCCTTATTATTATTCCTCAATATTTCAGACTTACTATTCGGTTAAGATTGTATCCTGATGCCTAATTTGAAGATTTGGTTAAAGAACTAGCACTGTGCTTATTTTTTTTCAAGAAAATCTATGCAGGAATTTCAAATGCTTTGCTAAACATTTATTTGCACATCAACTCCACCTACCTCATTTCCATATAAGAATGGTTCCTCTTTGATGGATACTTCTTCAGTTTCATCCTCAGGTTCCTCCTTGATGGAGATAACACAGTCACAGAAAGTGTCTCAGGTTTGAGTTTCAAGCAAGACAAGTTTTTCTAGAAGGCTCAGCTTATAGTAGCCATGAATATACGTTTCCTCAAGTTACCCCCTGCAACTCATTTCCTAAGATTGCTGCTAGCCTATTATACTTTAGCGGAGTTACCCATCGACTCAATATTATTATTCATGTTATTGCCTTAAGTATTACAATTGATTATGAACTGCAATTGGAATACTGTTAAATATGTCAGCTATTTGTTTATAATATTGGCACTTAAGTAACTCCAGTAGTCACAATCATTTACACATCTGTAATAGAGTGCATGACCTGGTCTTCAAACCTAGTTCCAGTAAATGAGGAGAATTCCTTCTGTGTTTCATTCCCCAATACGAAACACAATTATAACACGCTAGCGCAGTCTGGTCTCTGACTTACATGCCTAAGGCTGAACCACAGGGCATTTGGTACAACTGAACGTTTGGCACGAGTCAAAGACCTTAAGGGACTCATACTGCGCCGCTAGCATTCCCATGTCTTACAAGCTCATAGCCAACTCAGGCATTCATCCAATTCTTGTTGATAAAAAGTACCTGGCTTGTCCAAGGTGGTGCATAATGCAATAATGCATAATGCACTGGTGGATCAGTGAGCTTTTGATGGCAATGGAACTACCTTAAAAAGACATCAAAAATAAGGCCTACAATCACCCACTCCCTTCCAAAGTTGCTGCTGCCAGGAAGGGCAATAGACACACACACATAAACACTAGCATGGAAGCAACTATGCAACAGTATGACTGTATATGTAAATATGATAGAGCTTGCTCTTCCATGCATGCATCTGCAATGTCACTTAATCCATAGTTTTACCAACCACAATAAAGTATTAACCTGATGATCAGAGTTCATATGGACCTATTGAAGTGCCAAGGTGATATGCATAAACTGGGATAAGCTATGTATGAGTAAACATTGGCAATAGTTTATGCGGTGCTTATCAGATTGCTGGGGTTTGCAATAATGTAACAACACAAAAGTTTGTGCCAAAGCTGTTTCACCAAGACAGCATCTCATGGCTGAGCAGAAGATTTTGGGAAGAGCAAGACTAACTTCTTCCACTGAGCGTGGCTTCTAAAGCCTTCGTAATAAAAACGTCATAAGGCATCACTGTGATCTCACAAAATGAAGAAAGCAATGTCCCAGTACTATCTTGAAATATCTTGATCCTATCTCACCAGATAAATATTTGCAGGTAAGTCAACTTCTATTTGCATAAAAAAGCCTCTAAGCATCAATCGATTTTTGCCATATTTTGTTTACTGATTAATAATTATTAAATATCTATTTAGCATTATCATGTCAATAATCCAGGTTTACTATAAAAAATTATAATATAACAACAAAATCAATATTACGCTGGAAATTGTTTTTACAATTTTCAATAGCTTGGAAACAACTTTAGATATTGTTTGTTTAGATAATTCTTTGAATCGGATCCATTTGACAGTTGCCAGACTTGAAAAATCAAAGTTGGAGTGTGAATTTTTAAAAAAGTTGTTTTTTTTTCTACACTACAAGTCGGGCTTAGTTGGGTTCAGTACAGGCAGCAGGTATCAAGCAAGAATCATGGCAACAGATGTCTTGAACCAAATTTGCCCCACATATCTCAGTTTGCTGGGTTATATACTGTGGGGAAATGAAAGAAATGCAATACAAGAAGTTTCTATTACTGGTTGGTAGTGGAGAAGGATAGGTCCCTGTTTGAGCAACAACTGTAATGGAAGTGTAGCGGATATTACCACATGACTATTTTTGTATTATGAAAATAGTCTAGAAAGAATTCACTCCTGTTGGCAAGACAATTATTTCCGGTAGGTCTCTTAGCTCACTCTTCTACCCACTGAGAGCTCACTCTAGTGCCAGCCGCTGCTCCGGTAACTCCTTGCAACATCACGTCAGCACCTACCAAGTACACATTGCTGCCCCTGTATCAACATCATCTCAACTCAATGTGCAACTCCACGTGCCCCTGTAATGTGCAACTCCAAGGGCCCTGGTAACGTTCATCATAACTCATCGTGGCAACTCCACTTGCAACTCCGCATGAATTATTGCCACGCGTCGTGTATCTAGATCACCACCCCATGTGTATCTCACCACACCACGTTTATCTCATCACGCAACAACGTGTATCTCACCAAGCCTCATGCATCTCATAACGTCTCGTGTATCTCACCACACCACGTGTATCTTACCGCACCACAAGCTTCTCATCATCACCACATGCCCTGGTCTCCCAGTTCCTTCCGAGACCACGATCATCAAGCAGGTCACGTGAGCTCACAATAAATACTAGCAACCCTTAATTTGTTGTCATTAACCAACCAATTACATCAAGCCACCCTCGTTAATTTCAATCTGCTCCTATTGTCATAACTCATGTTACCATGGCCTTAAAATCCCCTGAGTCGGAGTCAGTCAAACAATAATTAAATGTGGTCAAGTACTAGCTCCCACAAAAGCTCACATTATAATGAGGCTGGCAACTAAGTGTGACTGAAGATGTTTGCTGCATGAGGGTTTTCAAAACAATGGTTCAATTGAAACTCCTTCTCTAAAACCATTCAATTAAAACTCCTTCTCTAAAACCATGGAAAACAAGTACTTACATTAATCTTTTGTATTTTTACTTTTCCATTTATTAATTAAAGTAAGAAACAATTATGTAAGGTTTTGCCATGCATTGGCAAGCAAAATCCAATGCATGGGAGTCAACCATTAAATTGCACTAACTCTTTCCTTTAATGATGTGCCACTGTGTGCCAATGTCTTGCCACTGTGGAAAATCAGACATCAATTAGAAACGTGATTAGCCTTAAGAGTTCTGTTCAGGTACTGACTAAAACTCAGAGCCAGACTAAGTGGATAAAATCCAGGCCCAGACCAGTCCCCCTACCAGGATCCAGAAAAAATTATAGATTGCAAACCATTTGAAACATCAGGAAACCTTGAAATTTTGAACAACAAATTTCAAAAAATTTCATCCCATTAGCACATAAGGATTTCAGAATAGTGCATTTTTCTATCAAATTTATTAATAGAGAATTGTCTGAACCTTATAGAAAATATGAAACATTTCTACTGAATTTATGTATATTCACTTCAAAAATACCATGTTAGGTCCTGTGGACCCTAGACTAGTCAGACGCTTGAAGACTCTTGTATTTACGACTTCAGGTCGCAGAAAAGTGCATTTTTAGATCAAAATATTCAATAGAAAGTGGACCATCACCCTTACAGGCGGTTCAGAATAGATTTTTCAAAGTAAATTTATATGCATAATTTCACGTTTTCTCAATGTTTCAGATAATTTGTAGCCTTTCATTTTTTGTGATTTTGTGATCCTGGTACAGCAAACCACTCCGGGACTCTGGGCCTGGGTTTTAGTTGCTTGGTCGGGCGTGGCAGGCCAGTTTGGGTATGAGTCACCATCAATAATGCACTACAACAATATTTGAGTAACTCTATTATACTTGAAATTTAAAAGCAAAGAATAGTCCACAAGAATTCATATCTTTATAGAAAACGTTTCGGAGTCCAGATCCATCGTCTGTTCGTAGAATCTAGAATATACATAGAAAGTCACAAGGTAATACAATTGAAAACACAGAACACAATTAGAACCTAAATTTACAAGTAATAGGGAAGAAAAACCTATCTATTTACAATTTCAAGGGGATAGGAGCTCACAGCTGAATTTAAACTGGGCCTAAGCTTAAAAATGTACAATGATTCTAAGATACGCAAATCTGAAGTACCAGAGGTAGAAGCCAACACCCTAAAGTCACTGTCAGAAACAGGCACATCACACTGCTCGGCGTGAGTGCGCACAGCCGAATGAGGGGGGTGCGATAGCAACTGTCTGGCCTTACAACTCCTGACCCTATGCTCAGCGATCCTGGAATAAAGATTGCGTGACGTCATCCCGACGTACGCAGATGCACATTATGCACAACGAAATTGACTAATCACAACGGACAACGGAATCTATTATACTTATCTTAGATTAGTCAGCAATAGTCATTAGATACCAAATAAATACCCAATGTTTACTCAAACAAATTGCACTTCAGGAATTGGGGATTTGCAAATACCCCTAAGCAGGAAACTCCTGCCTACTTGCAGAGTAAATGAAAATGGGTCTCCACACAGCATGGCACAAATATTCTAATATCAATTACCATGATTCAATTTTTATACATCAATTATTTACTCATCAACAATTTAATTAACTTGGTATAGGGTGTTTTGATGTCACAGAGGGAACAATAAACAATTTCCACAAGGTCAAGCTGCACGTGGCTCAACCTTGTAACAGTTTAACCATGCCTCTTTCCTTCCCAAAATGTCACTCGTTTCCACTCCATGTAATTAATAAAAGTGTTGGTTGCAAGCGCAACAGGAAGACAACTGCTTGGTTAAACAGGTTGGACACAACCTTGCTCCCGGTCATCTGGTGGCAGTGAATGATTGTGATGCCCTGCTTGAGGGGAGGGAGAACAGCTGACATGGTTATAGGGTATATTTTATTTCAACTGCATTATACCATGCCCTGCTTGAGGGGAGGGAGAACAGCTGACATGGTTATAGGGCTGTCTCTTATACACATCTAGATGTGTATAAGAGACAGATGTAGCATAGATACCAAACTAAACGTTTCTGGAGCTTGATTCCACTCAAGGATGATGGGAGCAACTACATGCGCATCTCTCCCTACAAAGCCCGGAGGCACACTGAGTCAGACCTCACAAAAACACTATATTTGTAGTGGTGGACAGCGAATTATCTCATATCTAATTAATGAAAGAACTCCCCCCCCGCCCCCTTTCATGAAGTGTCGTGTACGTAAAAATCGACGTACAGAGATGGTAGTGGTACCATTGGATAGGCCAGAATGTCAGCTTTAAGATGAGATTAAACACGTAACTGCAGCACAACTCAAGTAGACACTATATATAAAGAGCTCACCAGCTAATTAGTTCATATCTAATTACTTAAAGAACTCCCCCACCCGCCCCCCTTTCATGAAATGTCGTGAAATCATAAATCAACGTAGAGAGATGGCAGTGGTACCGTTGGATAGGGCAGAATGTCAGCTTTAAAATTAGTATGAAAACCGAAAAAGTAAAAATTTTCAAATTTTAGGGTAGACGCTCCTCTTAAATGCTTTGAGAGCCAATGACTTTTCAAGTTCCCTTTTGTTGTGAAAGCACAATCACACTGGCAGCAACAAAACTTCTTCACTGATGAATGTTTAGAAGGGTGACACTTATGCAAAATTTCTTTGCAACCATCAGAGCATTTACTTTGAGAGAATTTCTGTGCATTTCTCTGAGGATGCCTGGACATATGCTGTTTGAGATCAGCTTCGATGGTAAAAAAATTTAAAGAGAAACTGCATTGGTGTTTACTTCCCGGATTTTTTACCAGACAGGTACAGGATTTTTTACAGTTTGGGAACCTAAATGATGTTTCTGTCGAATGTAAAGCATTATTGTGCTGTAGACCACTCCCTGAAATAGAGCAGTCTTCACAGCAGCAGTGGAGTCCTGATGCAGGATGTTCCAGACCAATGTGCTGCTGTAGTTTGCATGCAGCTGCAGAGAGCAATCCACGCTGGGGACATCCAATCCTGGTGTGTTGCTGGAAGCTGGACGCCCCAGAGACATCAGTGTCTCCTGATGCTGGCGCTGATCCACCTTCGCCAAACTAATTATAAAAATACAAAGTAAAACAATCTCCCATGTTAATAACAGCCAAAGAAACTTTTGATTCTTAGTAAAATTTCTTCATCATTGAACCAAAATGTAAAATTTGTATGCATGAGAAAAATGGAATCTGTTACTAGTATCACTAACAGAAGCCTATTTTATACTTAGATACCAACAATGGATCGAAACACGAAGGGGACTTTAATGAATCAGAAAAATTGATTAAATTTATTTGCATGGTTCAAACAAGGAAAAGCTACAACTAAATATATAAATACCTGATTTGACAATGGAGCAGGAATGTTCTGTGAGGAGATTAAGAGGGCATTGTGAGCCTCAACTTGAGCTCCATCTTGAACGGCGAACAAGAGGAGAGTGCAGGTGCAGGGCTGAGATGAGCAGTTGAATTATATAAGGAAATATATAGTATGTGACTCGTGTTATTCTACTGATGAGAAGTGGAGGACAATATTAATGTGGCTGGCAGTGATGTTTGCATTTCATTACAAAGGATATAATATACAACTCCCATAGAATTTTCCTGATTTCTGAACATAGTTTATTGATTATCTTCCTATTTTTATGATTTTGTAATTATTGCTGAACAAATTCTCATTTATGAGTAATATCTTATTTGCAAGATTTTGTACTCTTGTCAATACAAATTTCATCATTCAATGTGTCTTGTAACTTGATAATGAATGATTGATACATTTGAAACGTTAACAAAAAAAAAATGTCCCCCTGGTGACCTGATTTAAATTTACTTGTGGTAACATAAAAAAATATTGTTCAATATATTGAAAAAAATTAATAATAAAATTTTCAATAAAACAAATTTCTCAGCAGCACATGAATGCAGTAGCATTACAAATTATTGATTTTAAAATGTCTTCTCATATCAATGGTTCATAGTGCAAATATTTACTAGTTGGTTTTCAAACTGAAATGGATATAAAAACATAAGTGGCAATTTCAGTAGCAGGTGCACACTTTAAGTATCTTTTTGTTGGATCAAATTGGTGTTCATTAATGTGGAAGGTACTTTTTTATTTATATTGTATGTACATCACATCACTTCAGTTAAAAACTTATCAATTGACAAGCAAGGAAGACATTTTTGAACAAGAAAATTTTGACAGTTTTTCATAATTTCTGCCAATGGAATCCATCACATTTCACTTCCTTTTGACTACAGACAACTAAGGGGAACATTCTTAGGTTGAATTTAGAATAGAAAACCAATTGTGAGCACTCAATCATAAATCAAATTTCTCATAACTTCTAATAAATTATTGAAGCAAGATGGGGTTCTTCACACCAAATTATTATAGCTTAGTAGTTCAGACTAAATAGTTGGTCAAGATTTGTCTCCTGATGCCTAACTCAAACGATTTGATTATCAAAATAGTATTTGGCAATTTTTTATGAAAATCTATGCAGGAATTTTATAAGTTTCCCTAAACATTAATTTGTATATCAACTCGACCTACCTCATCTCCATAAAAGAATGGTTCCTCTTTGATGGATACTTCTTCAGTTTCATCCTCAGGTTCCTCCTTTTTTTTTAATTTGATTTGAAGACTTCGGGTATGCAGGTAGCACACCTCCCAGCCTGAGCACAACTCAGATTTTGATCACTCCACTTCACTTGTTGATTTCACTTTGTATTTCTCTTTCAGCACATTCTTCAGTTTCATCCTCAGGTTCCTCCTTGATGTAGATAGCAGGAACTTTGAGGGCTGGTGGAGGATCAGCCTTTTCCATGGCTGGAAAATATATACATTAGTGTACTGGTACCACTGGGCTAAGGAGCAAGATATCTCATAGTAAATATGATGCTCACAAAATTAATGAATCATGTGAGCTTTAGACAAAAAGTTAATATCACTCAGATGAGTGAGACTCAAGAGGTGGCATATTCCAACACAATGTTATCAAATCTTTTCTTGAGACCTATAAGAAATGAATGAGAATAAGCATTAATCAAGATAATTTGACATGACCTCAGTTCCTCCCCTGCATAATAACAATTGATCAGTCAGCATAGTGATAAATGAGAATTTTAAATAATTATTCCGTTTATAATTCCTCAATCTACTTCATATTTCATTCAATATCTATGCATGATAATACTGGTATCCAAGATACTTTACTATTCTACTAATGGAGATGCTCGAGTGAGGCTCTGCTCAGGGCATCTGCCACTCCTGACTGCAGCATCAGAGAGTTGGTGCAGCACAACACTGCATTTCTTGGACGCCATCACAAAATGTGATGAGAATTATGAATAAATTAGGTTGAATTTTTTTAGTGGATTATGATAGCAGCAATGGAAATAACACTGAAGGAATACAGAAAATGATACAGAACACAGTAGAGGCTCCAAAGAAGGCCTTAATTTCAACATTTGCAACAAAATTCACTTGTACTAGATTACTTAAGTACACAACTGTTTGTTTGATGTATCAATGATCTATGATGCATGTAACTTGGCTATATTTGAATGTTGTGTTACGTGACATGAAGTCAAAGGTGTTGCAGGCCAGGCAGTGTGACTAGGAGCATTTGTTACAATAGGGTTGGTATCCACCTCCCATACAATCATCTTACCCCAGCTTTCTATTCAAACTCTTACTGTGTTTTTATTCTTACCCCAGCTTTCTATTCAAACTCTTACTGTGTTTTTATTATTAAATAATCAGGAAACAATCACAACTCAAGAAAGAACATAGTATGTACATGGGAACAATACAAGAAAAAGAGACCAGTGCAAAAGCAAGGTATGGGGTTCCACTTAACCTTGAATGACTCATATATTAGTTTACTAGCTTTAACCTAGTCAGAAAGGCTGAAGCATTGCTGCTCAGAGTGTGATTCAGGTTCATCAAACCTAGGGAGTGAACCTAATACACTACCATTACAGAAAAACATGGTTAGGTCTATGAGTGATTTTTATGCAGTGAACTAACAATTACCACTCTTAGTTATACTCCCACATTAACTGATGACACGCGTTTGCACCTCAGGAAAGGGGGTTTGCAAGGACCCCTATTAGGTATGACCTACTTCCTTGCAGAGCAACTAAAAGAAAGCTTCCCACATCCAAGAAAAACTCACCATCATCACCTGGCTTGATGAGAATCCTCTCTTAAGGAACCAGTAAGGAAGTGCTAATCAATCTCAATTATTTTGTTGGACCTATGGGTTTCCCTAAATTTACTATAATTGTTGCTATATAGATTTATTATCAAAATTCAATTCCATTCTCAAGTGGAACTGTTGCAATTTTTCATCCATGGGTATCAAAGACATCCAATCACACATTAAAACCTTTTATGAATTGTTCAAAATTTCTGCAACTTCCTTAAAGATAAGTTATTCATCCTTTACATAGGGAAATGGAATCTCATTAGATCACCTATTTTGTGCTTCCCAACTTCTTGGTGCAACATATGGAATAATTTCTTAGTTTCCAAAAAATGCAGTATCTATAATATGGATAAAAAGTCAAAATTTGAATATTTTTATTATGATCCACCCAAGAGACTTTCACATTCTATAGAGAAAAAAACATTATGACTACATTATGTACCACATTAAGTGTTAAAAGTGAACTCCAACAAATGGTCTTTTTAATTAATATCAAGTTTTTTCATGTCCATGCCAAATGTAGAGATAACTGACCATAAGCCAAGTCCACAGACATGCCTTGAGCCTGAATATCTTTGCATTAATTTCCATTTAATGTCTGGGCTAGGCAATGTCAGATTAACCTGATACATACTTCGGGTGAAACTCCTTCATGGTCCGGATCAAGCAATTCCATAGTATGGGTCAAGTTCCTACACAGTCAAACTGCTCCATACGCAGAGTTAAGCTGCTGTGTACAAAAGGTTAAGCTGCTACGTACGCCAGGTTAAGCTGCTACACATTTCAGGTAAAGCTGCTATGTAAGCATGATTTGAACGGTCAACTACAACCAAAAAACAAACACCCTGTTTTAGCAACAGGTAAATGCAGTCATCCAGGTCATCCAGACAGCAACAAATGTATTGGTTGTGAGCGCAGCAGGAGGACTACTGCGCGGTTACAAGGATTGGACACAACCTCCTTCCTGACCATCTGTTGATTGAGATCGATTGTGCCGCCCAGTTTAAGGGTTAGTATAAAAGCTGCCATAGAAATAGGGTTGTATACGGAATAATTAATGTAATATTTTGTATATTTATATTTAAACAAAATCAATTAACCAGTTTTAGAGCAGCAAAATTCAGCTCAAATTGAACCAGATTTATGAACTAGCCATTTTCTGGAAATAAGCAACTTATATAAATATAAGCACTAGTTTCAAAACTTATGATATCATTACATTGTGGGTAGCGTTTACTAATCTTATTCAGTAAAATCTACAAAATAGTATGTAAAAAATTTTGACACTTTTAAAAGATTTGAAATTCAGTGAACCAAAAACATTGCTATATTCAAACGATTACTGAACTACTGATAAAGTAAATTCATGCAATAAAAGGGTAATATGTTGTCAGAAACACCGTCAGCAGAGTTAGAAACCGCCAGTTAGCAAACCTGGGAATAACTGCAACACTATTATCCCTAGGAGCATGACTGCCACTCTCACAACACTGACACCTGCCAGCCCCTCAAGAAGGCTTCAAGAAAAATGGCTGCTGATATAACAATAAAGTAGCATTCAAGCCCCAATGAGCAAAAAGCACTTGCTCTCCATCACCATTAAAAGTTTCATTTTATATTCAAAATGAAATCCGAGCTCACACAACAACATTCTAGAACATTCTGTTATGCACTGAGATGTCTATAACAACCACTATATCTATTTTAACTCCTATCTCTATGTAGGAGTTTAATGTTTAACTCCTATTTTAACTCCTATGTAACGTTAATATTTATTCAAATATTAACATTACGACTGCTATGACTGAGCATCTGCGGTTGGTGTCATCTTGGCTTCGTTGTTCTATTTCATATCCACGCTGTAACAAGCGACTGCCAACTTTGGTGGACATTGAACAGCTATGAACCTCTTCCTGGTTGGCAGTGGGTGCCTTGGGTTAGGTACTCAACATAGCTTGGTCCTGTTGCCTCAAAAGATCAAATGTTCTGCACTTGATTCCTGTGTCAAGCTTCCTACATTCACATGCATCCTCACACCTGGTTCACTGAAGCAGTTTCTGATGGACGCTGGAGAGCAGATGCAGTTCAAACACACATTATTGACAGACATATCGTTACACTTAAAGCACAGATGGGTCTTTTACTGTTGAATGCCTGCGTAGAAAATGTGTTTTCAAGTTTCCTTTTATGGCAAAAGCATTATCACACTCAGAGCACTGATAAGGTTTTTCTGTTGAATGCTTGCAAAGAAAATGACGTTTCAAGCCTTCTTTTCTGGTGCAAGCATAATCACATTCAGAGCACTGAAAAGGTTTTTCTGTTGAATGCTTGGAAAGAAAATGTTTTTTCAAGTCACTTTTTTTTATGCAAGCATAATCACACTCAGAGCACGGAAAAGGTTTTTCTGTTGAATGCTTACAAAGAATATGACTTTTCAAGTCACCTTTTCTGGTGCTAGCATAATTACACTCAGAGCACTGAAAAGGCTCTTCTGTTGAATGCTTGGAAAGAAAATGTTTTTCCAAGCCACTTTTTTTGGTGCAAGCATAATCACACTCAAAGCACTGAAAATGTTTTTTTTGTCAGATGTTCAAAAAGTAAATGTCTTTTCAAGTTCCCTTTTGCGGAGCAAACAAAATCACACTCAGAGCACTGAAAAGATTTTTCAGTTGAATGCTTTGAAAGAAAATGACTTTTCAAGTTCCCTCTTGTTGTGAAAGCATGATCACACATGGAGCACTGAAAAGGTTTTTCTGTTGAATGTTTGCAAAGAAAATGTCTTTTCAATTCACCTTTTCTGGTGCAAGCATAATCACACTCAGAGCATTGAAAAGGCTTTTCTGTTGAATGCTTGGAAAGAAAATGTTTTTTCAAGTCACTGTTTTTGGTGCAAGCATAATCACACTCGGAACACTGAAAAGGTTTTTTGGTCGAGTGTTCGAAAAGTAAATGTCTTTTCAAGTTACCTTTTGTGGTGCAAACAAAATCACACTCAGAGCACTGAAAAGGTTTTTCAGTTGAATGCTTTGAAAGAAAATGACTTTTCAACTTCCATCTTGTTGTGAAAGCATAATCACACATGCAGCACTGAAAAGGTTTTTCTGTTGAATGCTTTGAAAGAAAATGTCTTTTAAAGTTACCTTTTGTTGTGAAAACATAATCACACTTGGAGCAACAAAACTTCTCCACTGATGAACGTTTAGAAAGGTGACACTTGTGCAAAATTTCTTTGCATTCACCAGCGCATTTACTTAGAGAGAATTTCCGTGCATTTCTCTGAGGATGCCTAGACTTGATATGTTGTTGCAAATTTACTTCAGGGAACTTAAAAAATGTTTCTGTTGAATACAAAGTATTATTGTGCTGCTGTAGTCCACTCCCTGAACTAGAGGAGTCTTCAGAGCAGCGGTGGGGTCCTGAAGCAGGATGTTCTAAATCAATGTTCTTATGTAAACCACTTCCTGAACTAGAGGAGTCTTCACAGTAGCGGTGGGGTCCTGATACAGGATGGTCCAGATCAATGTTCTGCTGTAGTCCACTCCCTGAACTAGAGGTTTCTTCAGTGCAGGGGTGAGGTCCTGAAGCAGGATGTTCCAGATCAATGTTCTGATGTAGATCGCTTGCACCTGCAGACACAAACCCATGCTGGGGACAACCAATCCTGATGTGTTGCTGGGAGCTGGACGCCCCAGAAACGTCATCATCGCCATCAGCATCTCCTGATGCCGGTGCTGACCCACCTTGGCCAAACTAATGACAAAAATACAAAGAATAACAATCTCCCATATTGATAACAGCTACAGTAAACTGTTGACTTTCAAGATTGATCCTCTACAAAATGCCTCAGCTTTTGCAATAGAAATTTGAAAGTGCAATGAAAATTTCCCAAATTTGTGAATTTCTTGCACATTGTTCTGGTTCATGCAAGGATTACTCAAAGATAATAATTGGTCTAAGCAAATATGTGAATTAAAATTACCTGGTCTCAACTTTAGCTGTAGATTCTGGCCTTACCAAACCAAACATGAATAAAACTGCAATGCATATGATTAATCGTGTTTTGATTTAGATACATAAATCCCTGTTATTTCAGGTATATTAATTTTAAATTTGGAAATTAATTTCCATTAAGGCTAAGGTTTTGCAAATGGGACTTTGACAGCACTTTTCTCAACCACCAAAATCTAGAAGCCTAGAACACCAAATTGACAACCACCCTCATAATACCACACACATCCCAGTACAGCTACCACTTTCAAGTCAACATCAAGTACCCCACTTCTTCTGGTTAAACACAACCTAAAAACCCTTGACATAACGTTTTATGGCATGCACTTTTTTACCACCCACAAAAAACTCCCATAGCAAAAACCTCAGAACGCGATAACATACCAAAAGACCTCTAAGGAACTCGTATGGACATGACTAGGACTACCTCTATTACAAACCTACTAAACAATCTGTTGTCCCATGATTGACGCCTATTCAATATGGACCCCTATCACTTCTTCCACAAAATCGACACCTCCAAATGGTTCAAAATGTCACCTTGCATGCCATAACTGGTTGCCACAACAAAACAGCATACACGATCTTCACTCTGAATATCAAATCCTTGATCCATGCTTAGGAGAAATAAAATGTATGACCATCTATTTCTAAAAATATAAAATCATTATATTTCACAAGCTAGATTGATATGTACAAGGATAATGGCACGTGTACCTAGTATCTCTACCAGTACTTATTTTATACAATACTATTTCATACAATACTGTCTATTTTATTTTATACAATACTATCAACAATAAAAAGAAATAATGGTGGTGAAAATAGACTTGGGAGTACCTCAAAAAAATTTATTGTTCAATGTAAATTTGAGAAATCTTAAATTACCTATGCATACCTGATTTGGAAACAGAAGAGGAATGTTCAGTGAAGAGTTTGGGTAGGCATCATGCACCTGAACTTGAGCTTCCATCTTGCACAGCACACTAGAGGAAAGTGCAGGTGCAGGGCTGAGATGTACAGTGGAACAAGCCTGGGAGGATGTGGAGGACAATGTTGATGTAGCTGGCAGTGATGTGTGCATTAAATGAAAAAAGATATAATATACCACTCATAGAATTCTCAACAAGTTCCTAATTTCTTAACAGCACATGAATGTGGTAGCAACACAAATTACTGGTTATAAAATTTCTTTTCATGTCAATACCTAATAGAGCAAATATTCCACTTGCCGGTTTTCACAATTAACTGGATATATGAACATAAGTGGCAATTTCAGAGCCAAATACACACTTTTAGTATGTTTGTATTGGAATTGGCATTTATAAGTGGGTTAGGAACTTTTTTATTTGCGTTGATGTTGCATGGCTGAAGTTAAGAACTTGTATTATTTGACATGAATATTCTCCAGTGCTATTCTTTGCAATCGTCTGCTCTATGCTTATCTTTTTCGTCAACAAGCAATAGGAAAAATTTGGAGTTTTTCATGGTTGTGCCATCACATTTCATTTTTTACAATAGATAACTACAGGGAAAATGATGAGTTTGGAAATAGAATAGTGAACCTAACATAAGTAATTATAGATCAAATCCTCCATAACTTCTAACCAAATATTAAATCATGATAAGGGTACTTCATAATCATACCTAATGATTATTGCTTAATATTTCAGACTTGATACTGAGACCTTCTTCTTCATGCTGTGAAGATTTGATTATGGAAATAGCATCATACCAATTTTTTCCTTGAAAATCTATGTTGTACTTTCAAATGCCTTTCTAAGCATTTGTTTACACATCAACTCCACCTACCTCATTTCCATATAAGAATGGTTCCTCTTTGATGGATACTTCTTCAGTTTCATCCTCAGGTTCCTGCTTGATGGAGATAGCAGAAACATTGAGGACTGGTGGAGGATCAATCTTTTCCATGGCTGGAAAATATATAAATTTGTGTATTGTTACCACTGGGCTATAGATCAAGATATCTCATAGTAAATAATATGCTCACTAAACTAATGAGTCCTGTGAGCTTTAGCAAAAAGAATTAATATAACTCAGATGAGTGAGACGCATGTGACAAATTCACATACATAGTCATCAAATCTTGTATTGAAACTCCTAAGAAATAAAAACAGTTAGAAATTTAATCAAACAAATTAAACATGTTACATGTGGCACGACCCACCAGCGCTGGCAGCTGGCCTAAAAATGGCCAAGTCCACTGCCAAAAAGGCCTATAATTCAAAATATACTAGTAAATTTGTAGGTTCAGGTGCAAAACTTAAATATTCTTTTTTCTTCTTTCATTTTATAATTTGATGAGGTAGTACTGCCATCATAAATTTTTGTTGACAAACACAATTGAACAAAACTAAATTGCAGAATTTGTCTGGAAAAGGAATTTGTCTGTCCCAAGTTACTTAAGCACACAATTAACTGCTTTATGTATGCATCAGCACTATTTGATACAGACCACTTGGCTATGTTTAAATGTGGCATATAATAAAAATAGACAATATAATTACAATAGACATGAAATTCCGCATCATAGACATCAAAACCATATTTTTGGTCCAAAAAATTGCAAACAATAATTTTGTATACACCTAGAAATATATCAAACAATATTTTTTGTTTGCAGTGGTAAATAGGAAATTTGAGGACCAATAGATATTCTTAATTTGCTAACAACTTAAACCTGCTAAAGGAACAAATTCTGCCAACCAATACTAACATAGAAATATATGCATTGCTAAATTGAGGTGCTACATCAAAGGTGTTAAAATATCTGAGCTCTATTTTATCTTCATCATCACATTAGTTATTAGAACCTAATCAACTAATCATCAAGCAACACTAATTGGTCATTTAAGGATAGATGTAATTGCCTCATTGACCATAACACATTAATGTTTTCAATAGAGGTAAAATCTTTGCTTTGAATTCCAAATTTGCTTTTCAGCTCAGCTTAAATTAAAGATTTTTGTCTATTCTATTTTTCTTGGTGGCACAAAACAGATGGTGTGTATTGAGGCAACCTTAGGACCCTATGATGAGTTTATGACTTCTCAGTCCATGGTCAAGCTGATGCTGCGCCTTTGTTGTCTTCTGTCTCTGAGTCATCACTAGGCAGGTCACCCCGCCCTCAGATGTAATGTTGGATGTGTTTGTCTATTCGCCCTCTTTTGAGCCAGCTGAAGCTAGATGCTGTTGCTTGTCACTTACTGAGGGTAGTTTCCCATAACTGGACAATCCGAGATCTTCTTAAGAAACTTATCCAGTAGTCTCTTGAAAGTTGCCAGATTAAACACCCGTAATCAGCACCTTTGGTAAGGCGTTGAACAGCCTTGGTGCCAGTTTTCGAAAATAACTGGATATATAAGTATGAGTGGCAATTTTAGAACCAAATACACACTTTCAGTACATTCTTATTGGATCAAGTTGGCATTAAAAAATGGGTTAAAAACTTTTTTATTTGTGTTGATGTTGCATGGCTGGAGTAAAGAACTTACATCAACTGACATTAAGGTTCTCCAGTACCATATTCTTTGCAATTATCTGCACTATTCTCATTTATTCATTCACAAGCAATAAGAAAAATTTGGAGTTCGCCATGGTTGGGCCATCACATTTAATTTTTTCACAACAGATAACTTCAGGGAAGGTGATGAGTTTGGAAATAGAATAGACTCAGAGGTGGGCAGTAGTGCGCTACATGTAGCGGCCGCTACATTTTCAGTAGTGGTAGCGGTAGCAGCTCTACACTTAAGGCAATGTAGCAGTAGCAGTAGCGCCCGCTACATATTTAAGTAGCGCTATGAGGTTTTGCCGCTACAGCGCTACCACTACATTTATAGATAAAGCCTTTAGATTTTACTTAAGGGGACAAGCTACCCTCCAACAAAACTTTTTTGTTTACAGACGGATCATACATCCATGGTAGTAGCTTTGTTAAACGCGTCTTGTTTGTAGCTTTCAAATGAGTGCAAACACTTTGCAATTAACCTGGATAATGACAAAAATACCATTTATTTATAAATAATGATATAAAATGATCATTTCATAAAAGTTCAAGACTGCATTACACAAAAAAGTATTGCATGTACGTCTATGGTAGTAGCTTTGTTGAACGCGTCTCGTTTGTAGCTTTCAAACGAGTGCAAACACTTTGTAATTAATGCGAGTAATGATCTATATATACAGATTTAATTCAAATAAATCTTTGTACATATTGTTAAAAATGTTCATATATATATTTTTGAAATTGTCTTACGCAAAAGTTATAGCATGCACAGACATGCGGTAAACTGCATAAGACGCGCTTTTTCAGCAGCTACAAAATGAGTCAAGATAACGGTAAAGCCAAAATTTTCGATTTTGAAGGTAGCCGGTCTCCTTGATAGTATTAAATATTATTTAAAAACCAGCATGATACATACATAATATAAATTACAGAATAAAACTGTATGGAAGATTTTGGTGTAATGTTGTCAACCTCAGCCTGTTACTAGTGTCAACATTTTAGTAGTTACCTGTTAAGTTGTTACCAGTTACCACTTACAGGTTTTTTTCATCTTTCAGTTTGCTTACAGTTATTTTTACACAGTTATTTTTATGTTTCACCTTCCCTACATGGATGTCTACCTTAATTTACCAATCTCAAAAATAATCCACATATATATACAAAAAGACTGATTTTTATATGTAGATGTGGATAATTTTTTAGATGGGTAGATTAAAGTTCACATCCATGTAGGGAAGGTACAACATAAAAATAACTGTAACTTTTATTTACTGTATCTAACCCATACTAGTTCGGTTAGGTTAATTGCAATAAAGTTACATTGATTTGTTTTAAAAATGTTTTATTATCATTAAATGTTAATGAGTAAATCCCAATAGCAGAACAATATATATTAAGAGATTTCTAATAATTTTGGCCATTGTAGCGACTAATGTAGCGCGCCACATTTTACTGTAGTGGTAGCGGTAGCGGCGCTACATTTCAAAGTAGCGCTGCCCAGCTCTGAGAATAGTGAGCCTAAAGCAAGTAATTATAGATCAAAACCTCCATAACTTCTAACCAATTATTGAATCAAGATAAAGGCATTTCATACCTAATTATTATTGCTTAATATTTCAGACTTGATACTGAGACTTGTTTCCTTATGCCTAACTTGGAGATTTGATTATGGAAATAGTATTGGGCCATTTTTTTCTTGAAAATCTATGTTATAATTTCAAATGCTTTACTAAGCATTCATTTGCACATCAACTCCACCTACTTCATTTCCGTATAAGAATGGTTAAACACTTAAACTTTTAAGGATACTTCTTCAGTTTCCTCCTCAGGTTCCTCCTTGATGTAGATAGCAGGAACTTTGAGGACTGGTGGAGGATCAACCTTTTCCAAGACTGGAAAATATATACATTGGTGTACTGGTACCACTGGGCTATGGAGCAAGATATCTCATAGTAATGCTCACTAAATTAATGAGTCATGTGAGCTTTAGACAAAATGGTAATATCATTCAGATGAGCAAGACACACAAGGTGGCATATTTCAAATCGATGTGACCAGATATTGTACTGAAACTCCTAAGAAATAATTACAGATGAGAAATAAATCTGACAAATTTACATGAACTCAGTTCCTCCTCTGCATAATAACAACTGATTTGTGCAAATTAAATTTTTATACCTTCAGACTTTACTTCAGACTAGTGAACTAACAATTACCACTCTGAGTTATAATCCCACATTAACTGATGACATGCGTTTGCACCTCAGGAAAGGGGGTTTGCAAGGACCCCTATTAGGTATGACCTACTTCCTTGCAGAACAACTGTAAAAGAGAGCTTCAAACATCCATGCAAACTCACCATTATATCCTGGCATTGTTGAAAATCCTCTACTAAGGAACCAGTAAGGCAGCACAAAGCAATCTCAAATATTTTGTTGAACTCATGGGTTTCCCTAAATTTATTGGTCACTTTAGCTGTTGTTATATAGATTTTAAATTCAATGCCATTCTCAAGCGGAACTAGTGTAATTTTG